TTGTCAGTTCCGACAAGGAATCCTCGGCTTGCGTTTTGTTGACGGTGTGCATAGGGTATGTCCTTGTCTGGTTGTCATCATCTGCATCCTCGTGTGTGAATGTTCTATGGTTCAACGTGGAGGGCGGATGGGTGTCCGAGTTTTCGCCTCTGGCGAGTTTTGTAATCAGGTCCGCCATTGTCATTTCAATATTCAGCTTCACCATGTAGGCGACTGGGTGAAACTGTATGTATACAATTTGGTTGGGCAACGACATGAGACCGATAAGCATCGCCTAATGAATTCCCTTAGCTCGAGACAACCACACAGGACGGTCTGCAACTTTAACTAAAACTTACGTCCATGAGGATGGATACCACCATCAACTTAGCGTTGAAAGAGACCAAAGGGGCGTATTTGGTCAAGCCATGTCTCAAGACGAGTCGTCGCTTGACGGTCCGGAGGAAGTAATAATTGAGGCCGGCGTCGACCAGCAAGATGAGTACTTTGGAAATTCGATCCCAAATTTCATTCACCTTGACATATCTATTTGTTCTCTTGTTAGTTTCAAGATGCCATGCAGATGAGGTGGACGCCTTACAACTCGCTGGCCGGTGGTACAATGTGCGAAGGGATCCAGATGCAAAAGACGGCAATGTTGATGCAGGTAATGACAACGGCTGTGCCCCATTTGAGCCTCGCCACGGTCCTTGTGTGCTCTGCAATAATGGCAATTCGATTGACAATGATTTGCATGAGGAGCTGGATTTCAAACACCCACAGGAACAGGATGAAGAACAAGACGGGAACTCTGCAGCCACGGTGAGAATCAAGTAGTAGTTGGCCCTAAATCGAGCACGAGGAGGATGTGTGGTGGACAAACGTTGGCGACAGCAGCCCGTCGAGAAATACCCATCCGATGATACCGATGGCGAGGTTGGCCATAATCTCACCCCAGATCATGTACACATAGATACTTTTCCATGGCCGCTTGTTTCTCCTGGTTTGCTGGATTGCCTTCCACGCAGTCAGGAATCCAAAGCCAAGCGTGAAGCCGGCAGCGACCGACGCTACTTGAATGTCTTGTTTGGTTGCCATCTTCGGCGCATTGATACAAGTTGTGCTGATTCGACAATGGTCCAGTGACCCGTGGAAGTTTCAAAGCCGACAAACAGGGGCAGATGATCTTATTTATTTCAAATCCTTGCCACCACACTGAGAGCGCGCTCAGTTCGTTTTTAGTGATTCAATCGACCGTTGCATATTCTAGGACCTGCATTTGGCGCAGAATGCGGAGCCTTTCCACTTTAGGCCGTCAATGAGACCCGGGGCCGGCTCTTCGACTTGGGATGATCTTGGGGGTTTTCCCAAAATAGCGTTAGACCACGGCTTAGATGCCCCTGACGGTCAAAGCCACAAGACATTTCGACGTGCCTGGTTGCATTCACGCCGTGATTTGGGTGGTGTGGTGGGACGGATCTTCAGAGCCGGCGGCCGCCACGCAGAACAAGCGTGGCATTGGAGCAACGGCACAGAATCTCAAGTGCCAGTTTGTGGCTTTTGTGGCTGGCCTACGAGCATCAAGGTGGAGGAGAAAGTCCGGGCCTAGAGAGCAAGGCGGGCTAGAACGGCATATTCAATGTTCCATTGTCTGCAGTCCTCGGCCACGCTGTGGCAAATTAGAGATGCTACCCTTTTTTTTTTTTCCGGACAGGGGATTAAATATCTCAAGGGGCAGGATTTTTCTGTCCTAGAAAGTGCAGCGGGCCACTTTTACTCGAGCTTGTGACGGTTTTGGAAACCGTTGCGGTGACGGTCATTCCTTTCGTGGTGTTTTGGCACGGCGCCATTCATGGATAGGACAACGGCCAGACTATTGATTTTCTCGACGCATATATATAGAAAATCATCTTCATCGTGGTGATATTTGAAACAAAAGGTTGTCCCAGATGATGCAACAAGGTCGGTAAATAGTGACACTTGTGAATCGCATTTCAAAATCCCTAGCCTTTGCAACACCCCTGAGTTCGTTATTATTCGCGCTCGTCCGAGAAACCCGTTGGGTTGGGAGCATTGAACAGGTTTTGCCATTCTGCGCTACCTTGTCTATTGCATGTAACGGAACCAAGTCACCACAGGGTCCAAGCAATAAACTATCCGGAAAGTTGGGAGCGAAACTTGTCAAGTCTATAGACGATGTTACATGTCTGCGGTGGGACTGATGAAATCTTGACGCCAAAAGACTCGCCTAATGGGGAAAGGGTCTTACATGCTACCAGACCCCTTAAGGTTCCAAAGCGATTCCCTTCGTGCGAATCCCACTCTGGGGGTTCACAACACACAAGACAGTACCCCGGTTCATGACGACATAACGTCGTATATGCTTGCTTGGGCTATGCGTTCATAACCGGCACAGCGGTCGTGAGTTGGTCCAAGTTGGGATTCAAATGCGCCGAGTTGGCTTAGTTCATCTCATCATTTACGTCAATGTCTTTTACATTTTTAGACGTTTACAAGACCCTTTCGTTCCCCCTTGTGGGTATCTTGCACCTATTTCATGTTGGTAGGCCTGGGCAGTCGCACCAATACCTGAATGAGGGTTAGGGTTGTGCATCATGGTCCAGATATTGCTTGTCCAAATGTGCGCGTGGGCCGGACTATGGAAAGAGTGACCTCATTGTATTTGGTAGCTTTCTCCATTTGCAAGCTGTTTTTTTCTTCGTCTTCCAAATTTGCATGCGCGTTTTGTTACACGGAAAAGGCCCAACTGGTCGTGAAGCCCAACAAAGGGGCTTTGGTTACACAGTTTAAACACGTGCCCGGGCAAACGCCTAGGTGTGAGCGTTCCTTTAATGTGTACATGTTTATAGCGGTCGTTATTCCCCTCCTTGCTCTTGGCAACTCAGGGCCTTTGTCATCACGTCTGCAATACTATATCCATGTGGCGCATCGGTTGGGGTTAAGCACCAGACTGGATAAAGTTGATAAATGGCAGGTACCACCTTGTGAATAAGTCGTCGATTCGGTCATCCAAACATGTAAGCTTTAGATAATCTAACGATTTCAATCTAGAGTTCTTAGTTACCTGAGGTCTGACCTTTTTGATTAAGCTTGTTAATAAACTTCAAACAGACTGTAATTTCATAGCCGGATAGACTCCGTCAAGGGCCCCGATTCCAACGGTCCGTTTATTACACGGAAAAGGCTTAACAGATTGTAAAGCCCAAGAAAAGGGCTTCACCGACAAAAGACCTATTGGTTACACAAACTAAACACGTGCACACAGCCACTCCCTTCATATATATAACCGTCACTCGTCCGCTTCTCCCTCTTAAAAAAGCAAGGACATACAACACCCTACTTGGTTATCTTTGAATTGGACCCTTACCTTCCAAGCCTGATATCCAGCCCTTGTCACACCATTCGACCCGTAGATGTGGCATTGCTACGTATAACCGGCGAATGAAAGTTATTCCACAGCATTTACTAAAGAGGTCATGTTGAGCATGGACAAAATATCAATAGTTATTATTTTTACGCACCAGGCGTGGCACACTGGTGACCAAAAATAAATGAGCGGTGGGCCGGGAGGATGTCCCAAATATACACAACAACCGTTGCAAATTTTGACCACTTTGGCATCTCTAACCCCGCCACTTGCGGAATGATATCGATAGAGTCTGTAGAAGACTGGTTTCAGGCCTTTGGCGAGCTCGGAATTTCTCATATGGATGCTGAAGAAACGTGGTAGCCAAAGCGTAATTAGGTAACAGCCTATTGGTTTAAAATTACATATATTCAATTGGAATACATTATCCACCGACCACGCCATGTAACCGACCTTGATTCTCTGTGGCGCCAGACATATCCGGACGTTGTCATCTCCGCATTGAGACTTATATAAAGCCGAGTACAAAATCAATGCGCCTCCAGCGTGTCAAGGAGACGAATGGCCTGATGATGCAAGCTCACCATTGGCCTTCCGGCTACACCAGCAACACAAACATGCAAGTCGCCGAGAAGAGTACACCTAGCCCATTGCGTCTCATTTTCTCCTCGTCTGGCCGTCCACTCCGCGGTCCGTTGCACGTGGGAAAACCTCGATCGCCCCTGTCCTGGACAGTATCGAGTTGGGAGTCGGAAACATTCTCGACCAAGTTTACGGACCCGGCGGTTAAATAAATCATCACAAGATGTAGGAGTAACCAACATAAAAACTATGTGCCGTGGCCGCGCCCATTTTTCGGTGCAACATGAACCTTGCTCGCACGGCGGGTCCACCGCATCTTATCAATCTGATAATAAACGCGCCATCCCAAACTACGTTTCTTCTTGTCGTCGTCCATCTATTGAAAACTTGTTAGTGGGCTCTGAAACCATGTATCCAAACAAGGAATCAGGCGCCACGGCAAACGAGGTCCTGGCGAACACGAACGAGCAAGCAAGTGTGCCGAGCAAAGACGACACAATCCCATGGCGGATCAAGGCCGTGGCCGTGGTGCTCGTCAGCCTGATTGGATTCGGGTCCCACTGGAGCAGCGATGAATATGTCGAGAGAAACCGGCGACTAAGCATGACTTGTTTGGGGCAGTCATTCTCATGATACTGGGGGCCTGGGCGGCGTATTTTTGGGGAGTTGCTACGGGCAATAATAAGTAGTGGCTGCAGACTTTACTTTACTGCGCTGCTATTTCTCTAGAGATGGCTTCGTAGTCTGCAACAGTCCATCGCAGAGGTCAGTCACTGCAGAGTCTGACGAAATTATGAAAGTGCTGCTGATGAAATACTTGATAATCAAAAGGGAACACCTCCACGTCTCTACACGCCGACAATTTCTCTACACCGCATTTCCGTGTCAAGAACGTAATCAAACAAGTTTACAGAGGCACTGGTCATTGTGAAAATCAATTCTGACACAAGGTTCAAATTATCAATCTGTCGCTAACCCAGACCGGCCCTAACAAAGCAGCAAATCATTGAAACCGCCCGAATCCCCCCGTCCAAGATCCCATTCACAAGCTTCACAAAACGCCATACGCATCACTAAAAGGATTCGCAGCCCCCCGGAACACATACTCCTCCCCCCTAACCACGCGATCCACCTCCTCGCGCACCATGGGATACACGTCCCTCCACGCGTTCCGTCCCATCCAGCCATCCAAATGTCCATATCCCGGAATCACCCTCCTGCGGTACTGTATCCCCCCGCCCGCCCTGCCCGCCGAAATGCCAAACGTGCCACACAGCCGCTCGTACGTCTTCTGCGTCGCCATGGGCGAGAGCACATCGCTGTCGCCCCCCGAAAACAAAAACATCGGAATGCCCCTCAGCCGCTGTACATTCTTCGCGCCCGTGAGATCCTCATACACCGGGCCGTTGGTCGACACGGCCCCCCGGAGGCCCATACGCATCAGCAACGGCATCAGCGTCATATTCGCGCCGTTGAAGAAGCGGTCCACGTGCCGGTGCGTCGCCTCGTTCAAGTTGCCGTGGCTCCAGCACCGGCCAAACAGCAGACTTATGCGGTGGCACGACGCGCTGGTGCACCGCTCGCCCCTTTTCTCGGGCACAAGCCGCAGGAGCTGGTTCACCGCGCCCTGCAGGGCCCCTTGTTTCGTCGACGCGCGGCAGCTGAACCAGTGGCCGGCAAGGCGCGTGTACGCCCTGTCCAGCTTGGCCGAGGCCTTGAGCCGGTTGGACCTGCTCCAGACCGGGTTCATGAAGACCTGGCTGCATGTGATGCCGAGAATCCACGACGGGGGGATGGTGCCGTCTAGCAGGCCGCATGCGAAGGCGACGGAGCCCATGCAGTGCGCAATCGTGTAGACCTTGTCGGTGTTGTGGGACGAGCGAATGTGCGCTAGGCATGCCTTGATGTCGAGACGGGCGTCGTACGTGGTCCATTTCTTATCCTCGGGCTTGTCTACGATGCCGATTCGGTGCACCGTGACGAAGACGCGGTAGCCGGCTCGGGTGAAGTAGTTGACGGCGTTGAGGGGGATCGTCGGCAGCGCGTAGATCTGGTGGTCGACGGCGGCTCCGGAGATCATGAAGAGATTTTGGACCGGCACCGGACGTCCGGATTCGTCGCCGGGGATAAAGTCCGGGTCGGGCTCCCACATGTGTAGTTTTGTTTGTACCCCGTCGCTCGCGGTAACCGTGTACGTTTGCGTCGGCGTGGTCGGGTTGATGAAATCGGGGTGCCGTGTTGTGGCATACCGCAGCGGAGCAAGGGGCAGGAAGAAATGAGGCAGTAGTTTGCCCGAGAAATAGTTTACAAAACTGCCAAGGGTTACTGCCCTTTGCAGCAGATTCTTGCCTGTTGGTGTCAGTGTCAGGAGTTGCTTTCGAAAGTCGCCCAATCGAATCTTCAAAATGCCCGCGGCAATCACTTTGGGCCCTTGATCCGGCCCCATTGTAGGTTGACACCGGCCGGGATTATGCAAATCTGAAAACGTGCCGCCTGGTCTGCAAGTCCCCCCTGACGCGAGGCCATCTTGTTCAGCCTCGGTAATGGTAACGTATAGCGTAGTTGTCGACTTCCACATCTCCCGTATGTCCATGGATGCAGACGAGTCGATCTTCTTGTATCCGTGGAAACCAAGCCGTCGCCCGTCAATGCCCATCATTTCAAATTGGTACGTCACCGTGGTCGTCCCCGACAATTCATTATCTTGTCCAAGGAGTTCCACTTCGCCTTGCGATATCATGAATGGCGAACCCTTGATCGTAGGGCACACAAAGGTCCCTTTGACCATCCCTCTGTACAACCGGCTCGTGTTGCGGCATCCGGGCGACTGCACCACATACATGACATTGCTTGTGAGCAGCCGCGCCGTCTCGCCCCGGCTCCTCGCCGCTTGAAACGACAATTTGTGGCCGTCCCTGTCGTGCAGTCGCAAATTGTGACCGCTGTGCACAAAGCCACTCATGAGCTCTGTAAACGCGACAGTATCAGGGGCACCGTAGCGCACCGGGTCAACGCGCCGGACCGCGCATTGCGTGCGCTCCGTCTGCGTTGCGCTCGACACGGAGTCGGATTTTTTGGGACCAGACTCATACGATGGACCTGGCCGTGGGCGATGGGCCGGTGTTCCGTACAGGTCAAGCACGCCGTTTGATTCTCTGCTGACGACCAGGCCATGCGCCCGCGTATAATACTCCACGGCTCGCTCGGCCAGGGCCGCAATGGTTGCCGCCGGGTTCACACAAAGTGCTCCGGGAACAAGCGCGCCGTCCACGACGATGAGCCCGGGATGAGTTTCAGACGTGGCACTTCCGGCGAATACCTCCCCAGCGTGGTTTGTCACGCCGCGAGCGCCAGTATTGTCTCTTGACATGGGAGCTCCGCTGCATGTCGGTGTTAGCAGGTGCAGGATGAGGATATCGAAGCTGCCTTACCCGAGAGGATGAGCTGTTATCTGATGTTGGTCGCCAAATACACCGTGGAAGGGATTGTCGATGACTCTCCCGCCAACCGACTCTGTTGCCTTTGCCAGCAGGGCATGAAGCCGCTTGACTCGATCACTGTGGCCGACCCCGACAAACTCGAGCACCGGCTTGTCGTCTTCGAGGCGTAGGGACGCTTGGCTGCCTAGTGTTGATTATCAATACACTGTCCGGCCACGTTGCGCGGTAGACAGCAACTCACCGTCGTGAGACATGATTAAGAATATTTGCGTGTTTTGTATAGCGCCGCCACGGACGTACGGACCGAGCAACCGGCTTTTCCATCTCGCAAGTGCCTTTCTAGCCCGCTGCACCATCTTCTTTTCCGGCCTGCCGCCAGAGGGTTGCACATCGACAATGGTCTGCATGAGCCGAGAAAGCGCCTGCGGCACAGCCCCTTCCTGTATGACAAACCCGTCCAACGGGTTGCCCGTCTGTCCGCGCATATCAATGGCGGCGTTGATTGTCGGTCCTACCGGACTGTTGTGGCTCGGACGCTGCCGGCCAATGGCATTGACATGACGATTCGTGTTGTACCTGCAAGTCGCAACCGTGTAAGCCGCTTCACCATATCGACGACACGATGCGAGGGACCACGTACCCAAACGTCAGCATGTCCCCGTTGCCGCTCATCCCTTGGCCAAGACAGTCGCTCACCGACAGGCCCATCTCCTTGCTCCTCAGGAGAATCTCGGTGGTTCCCAGACTTCCCGCCCCCAGGAAGACGGCTTTTCTCGCATGCACCCACAGCAAGTCCTGGTCGAGCCCGTCGTCAAAGTTGCCGCGCTTGCAGCCGTGCCAGGAAAAGTAGACAATGTAGCCGCCCCGGGCGTCGGTGACCTTTTCGACATACCGGACTTGGCACTCGCAAAACATCTGGGCGCCCCAGTTCCACGCATCGGCCAGATACGTCACCAGGGTCGTCGTCTTGGAATGATCGTTGACCCCTGTTGTATCTTGCCCAGTCAGGGTCGACGGCAGCATGTCCACCCCGCAGCTATTTATTCCCGGCCGAAACCGTGTCGTCTGTGGAACTTTGTAGTATCTGCTGCCCAAGCCCATCCGCTGCGCCTGCCGCTCAAAGACGTGCATCTTCTGGATCTTGGGCCAGTCGTCGGGGTACGGCGTCGGCTCCAGCACGTCCCTGACTCTCTGGTAGTCTACACGATGTGAATTAGTCCCCCGCCGTATGCGTCACTTTTTTTCAAAAAAAAAAAAAAAGACCAACATTCTTTCAAGCAGCCTGGGTTCTCTCGGATTTCCGGCGGCCACGTGTCCATGGACAGCGTGGCGTCGTCGGCCTCGAGAAACACATTGGCATTAATCAGACTGGTGCCCCCTAGACCTGGAATAGCTGTGCCGTCAGAAACCCCGAGTCCCTGCGGGAAAAAAGGGGTGAAGCATCATACCGTTACACATCAAGGCGCTCTGGCCTTGTCCCGCCACGATGTGGTACATGCCAGTCGGCTTTCCGCGCCCAAAAGGCCGGACGATGGAACTCCCCGTCGTGTGGAATTCGTCAAATACTTGTTTGAGACACACGGGATACTCGCCGGGCCATCTCTCTTGTCCTCTTTCCAGAACGCAGACGGATTGTCCCGTACGGGCCATCCGCGAGGCTGCGATGCCACCGCCATACCCGGACCCGATGACGACGCAGTCGTACGAGTCTTGGATCAGCTCTACCGGTTGTGAAATCCGCGGGAAGCGCTGCGGCTTAGGTTTCCCCGGACAGCTATTCTGCCGCTGGCCGCAGGCGGACGGCACGCGGCTATAGCCACGGTGCGTCTTTGTCGTATACATGCCCTCGCTGTGAAAGAAGGGGGCTGTGTACTTGGCGCAACAGGGAGGTTCAAGCAGCAACGGGGACGACAATGGAAATAAAGGCGAATAATGTCAAGTAGCTTTGGCAGCTGGCCACGTTTGGCTTCGCACCCGTGGTTTGTAAACAGGGTGCTTCTCTACTCGAGTATAAATATAGAAGCCCATGCCGATCTGGCATCTGGACAAAGGCATTTGAAATACCACCACCCCCGGTCGTGAGATACTGGCCGTCGGTCCGCCTACACACCCCCCCCCCCCCCCCCCCCCCCTTCCCTCCGGTCCATAAATGTCTAGTATAGAATCTAAAAGTTGGCTGACTCTTGTGCCATGTATTCAGTCCATTCTGGCGACGATACAAGGTTCCATTGTTGCACAGTCACACACACACACCCCCCGTTCCCACACCTGGCAAGAGATATTCCGCCCTTGGACAGAGTGGAAAAGCCCCATGAATAACCGGGTTCCATCACACTCACACGTTGGCGAGTTAGTCTGAAGTTGACCTGTCTGATTTTTACTTTTACCAAGCCCTATGGAGGTGGCCAACGGCGGACGGCAGCACCGTTTTGCGTCACATGCAGTGCGGCTGCAAGAGCCTCGTGCCTGCCACCTACGTAGCCCGTCGATAGTCTCGGCCAACTTCCTGTGGCCGACACTGGCCTGCATTCTACTTGAAACCTGCCAGAGGATTATAGGGACATGGCTTCTGGATACGGGGGGGCGCCCGCCTCGTCAGAGGTATGTACGTTGGGCTAAATCAAAACCCACATGAGCCCGCTTAGGTTGAGCGGGAGTGAGAAATGATGAGAGTTTTTTTTTTTTTTTTCCCTTCTGGCCTGCAGCGGAGAGGGAAGGGCAAAAAAAAAAATGGATAAAAAGGGTACAAGCAGGGGGGGGCGGCCGAGGATATAAGACTTGGAGGCCGGACAAAGTTCTGGGAGACAGACAGTCTAATCTGATGTACATGATGGCACGCCACGAAAGAGTCAGATACATCGAGCAAGGCCCACCGGTTGAGGTGATATACACCCACATTCTTTGACGGCACCCCGCCTCTGGATAAGATGGGGAAGCGGCTGCTCGTCGTGGCACCAGGTCGGAGGGTTCGCGGGGACGCAGTGGTTGTGGAAGGGCCCCGGCGGACGGAATGAGGCCGGGCTCGGTTCCGAGTGCAGAGTCCATGGTAGAATCATTGTCTCAGCAGATGCCGGGACGAGTGGCGCCTCCTTGTCCAACACGGTTTGAAGACGAGCAAACGACGGCCCATGGGCAAAAAAAAAAAAAAAAAGAGGGTGGATCGGAAACCGGGCCGATGAAGACGGCAAACCTTGACTGCTCGCAGTAGGGTTATACACAAGATTGAAAGTATGTACACGTATGGTTGGACGGTGCAAAGGCTATTCCGTCGACGAGGCCACACAGCAAGGCGAGATGGAGATGAGCTGGCTCGTGGTCCTCGCCAGAGTGTATCCGAGTCGAGTTCACTCCCCATGGGGTCTCGATAGACGGCCGTTGCAGGAATGGCGGTGGGCCGCAGGCAAGACACGTCGTGTATAAGAAGTCAAGTGCCAACGGGCCACAAAAAGCACGTCTGGTGATGGGCGCAACGAGGCATGTTTTGCCACGTCTGGCCTGATGTCGACGAACGGTTGGCACGCGGCGACGAATCCACGGCGCGCCTTTGACCGGATTCTCTTGTCGTGCAGGCGCCGGCACCGCCTAGCGCAGCGACGTGCAGGCGGCCCGCGGCCAATCACGCCGGCGGGCGGCGAGGGCCTTGGGGTGTTGGGCAGTGACGCATCTGGCGACGTGTGCCCAATGTGGCGTGCGTTGCGAACCAGATCGGGGGAGAGGGCGAGCGAGCGGGTGCTCAAAGGGGGACATGGACGACATGATACATGACGCTGTGCGACGCGGAGCACGTTGTTGCCGCGCAGGCTCGCCTCGTTGCAGGTTTGACCGATTCAATGGACGGCGACGTAACCCACGATGCCGGGACCGCGGCGCGTGGTGTTGACTGCCGTGCCGTCGACATGGAGGCGGTGCGTGGTGCGTGCGGGCTCGGGAGCATATTCGATCAAATGGCAGATTGGCGAGTCAATGTGAGATTTGGTACACATGTATCAATCGGCGCACAGACGGGGTATGCAGACCAGACGGACGGGACATGGCGCTGGGACGCTCGCAGTTGCTGCTGTGCGTGGCCGGAATGACTCGGTATCTGGAGTCAAGTCAACTGGTCTGTCTTGACATGGCACCGGGTCGTGACTCGTCGGCTCATGTTGTCTGGCACTTGATGGGCTGGCCGCCACGTTGCCTCGACACGCGCCTGGCGCATGTCACTCGTGGCCTGCCGAGGTTCAATGTTTAATGTTGGCACTTGGCACTTTGCTGACTCGGTTTTTTTCTTCTTTTGCTGGCCAGCGACTCGAAAACCATTGACCCGGCCCCGTTGCCAACGCAGCACCAGTCGACTCAAACCATGAATTGATTATATGTCATCTTTCTGCCAGTGGGGCGCCATTTCCCCTGGTCATTTCTCGGGCACGACCATGTCTTCGATTTGCTCCCGTCGTCGCACCCCGTCGCGGGCCGCCCATTAGCACATCAGCCTCATCAGAGCCATCACAAGTCTGGTCGACGACGGCGAACTACCTGCCGCCCTGCCTCATCTCGTACATGTACATGGATGGGGGTCCCAATCGACCGGCTCCCGCCATGATTCGACGCGTGCGCCACACCTGATGCCGGCGCAAATGACGCAAGAGAACACCCTCTGTTGCGACGACACAAATGTCTCAAACCTGATGGTGGAAAGAAGCCTCGTCCATCCCGCGGCCCAGGGAGCAACAGCGGAGGACAAGATACAACATGGCGCGCAACGCCCTCTTCATCATGGTTTCATGAGCCAAGACGGCCGTTATTGTCTGTCCTGTGGCCACTTCCGCCGGGAGACGTTGCTTTTTGCTTCCCAGCGCACCGGGCCTGGCAAAGTTGGTCAAATTTGTCATGACTGTCAGCCGTCAGCCGTCTTCTCCGTCCGAGACTTTTTTGTCCCAGACTCGTATGTCCCTCTCTGCCCGTGTGTCCGACTGCCTTCCCAACCATGACGCCTCTATTCCCATCCACCCCAAAAGGCACGTCTCTGGACCACGAAAATGACTTGCAGCCGTGCGATACAGACCCTTTCCAGCACCACCTCGACAGGTATGCAGGTCTGACGCCCCGTGGAGAGTGGGCATCGAGCCCATGTCTCACACAATCAAGCTGCCGTGTGATGCTACACGCCAGGTGTTTGCGCATGCCCAACCCAGTGTGTAGTGTTGCACGTTGCCCACGGACAAGCTTGACAGACACGAAAAGCTACTTGACCGGACATATATAGACCTATAATACACCCCAGGCTAGATTGACCGTGTCCGCCCGCCGCCGGCACAAGACAACAGCGACGACGCGAGGAAAAGTCGGTCAAGGACGGATGAGCTAATGACATGACATGGCTGGAGTTACCCACTGCGCCGGGACAGGCGGTGATATTCTACACCTAGACTTGACCTGACTCGGCTCTCCATTCTTGAGGCAAATCCGCAACAGAGTCGGAAGGATCGTGGGCTAATGCAAGGACGATTGACCGACATTTCTGCAGGCCAAGGCACCAGCCAGGACCGTAACAAGCGCGGGAAGCGCGTCCGTCACGGCGAGCACCTGGGAAACGACGCGCCCGGCCTCGCTGTCTCATTGTAATACTGTATTGCGCCGCCCTGTGCGACACCTTCATCTGCCGTCAGCCGCCCCCCGCGCGGCGACAATGCGACGACAATGCCCCGTGTTTGGCGTCCAAGACAGCGCCCGTACGGGGGAGACGATCCCATGCTACAGAGACATGAGGTGCCCGTCGAGCTGGCCGTGTATATGCACGGGGTGCATTCCCGCGGTGCGTCGACGGTGCGTCTGGGCTGGCCGCCGACGTCGTGTAACAGAATGTCTTGCGAGCTCCAGCAGCACACCGGCAAGCTACATTACCGGGCTTGCAGGAGACGCACACCCACTGCAATCGACTCGTTCGCTGCCGGCATTTGGGCGAGGCGCGTGGTGCAAAGGCTGTCAGCTCTGCCTGCAGCAGGACGCTGTGCGACGCTGCGGCGCGGGAACATGCAATCTCGTCCGTTGTGTGACAATGGCCATGGGGCAGACGGACGCATGTTGGGTTGCAGGGTGAATCTGGACATGGACGTATGTTTGCCCGTGTAACCGCACTTTTCAGCTGCCATGGCTGCGCGGCGTACGAATAGTGACATGGACTGGAGGATTCCTCACATGCGCGGTGCGCCGAATGCCCAGGACAAGACGGCCAGTAGTCGATCCGGGGTAATGTGCCTATTATGGACGGCATCGATGCAATGACTTGTTGCGGGTAGAGAGGGGAAATACATGCTGGGATACGGAGCCGTGGTCATGATGGCTCTACGTTTGTCTAACAGGTAGAGACGGCAATGTCTAGAGTTGGTGCCATTGCCTCTCTTGCTTATGCCTTGCTTTATTGTCGGTGCTGCTTTCTTACACTATGCCGCCCAAGTAGGACAAGCCATGTCGTTTCATGTCGTTTGATGAGGACAAATACAAACATGAAGGATTGTGTGTATGAGTACTAGAAAGTATCCTGCAACGTCTGTCAAGTTGTTGTCGCGCGCATCTTCTGCGCCGACCTATACGCCGACATGCTGCCGTCGTCATGTCCACGGTCCATTCGAATGCAACAGAACCTCCCACCATGGACACGAACAATCATTTCTAGCCCTTTAATACCTAAGACATGGAACAAGTCACATCGCCTCGGCTGCCGTTCTTCGAGGGCCCGTTGAGATTGTATTCCGCCGGGCGTTTCGTCGGCACTGCCACGATAACACTTCCATGTTGGCATCAAATGCCCGACACGGAGTTAGTCTGCGCCATGACTTGGTATATAACAAGTCAAGTCACGGTCCGTAAAGCGAGCTCTCCCATCGACAGCGGCAACGTTCCCTCGGCTCAACCGGCCTCGCTGCTTGTCCGCCAATACATGTACCGTCTGGTACGCTCTGGCTACCCCGTGCTGCGATGCTCATCACGACGGGCCATCGTGTCCAAGTGCACCAGACAGACCATTTTGCATCGCCGCAGCGTGCTCCATCAGCCTAACCACCAGCCGGATTCCTCTCTTCTTCAGCACCAGGCTGTGAAGCGTGGCATCCCGCACGCAGCCCCCGGCATTTGGCTACTCCATGCCGAAGCCGTGCCACCACACCATGCGGACGGCTCCCGTCTCGAAAATGCTGCTGCACGCCGCGTTGCTAATAATAGGCCGTCGCCCTACCGGGTTTGAGGCTCATGCCACGGCAAAACAATTCCCTTGGCCCCGTTCGTCCGACGGCGAGCCAGGGTCTCACCCCGAAACGCAGTCCGGCCCTCGCCCTCACGCTCTGCCGCCCCGTTGCTTGACAGCAAAAGTTGTCTGGTGAGAAACGTACGCTCGCCGCTCCTTGTGCTCTGATTAATATGAACGCACGGCAAGGTTCCCGCCATTTGCCGCGTGGTCCTGTCTCTCGTCTCCCTGGCAAGACAGACCGCTTGTTTGAGTGAGCCCAGAGTTGCGTCGGTTGCTGCATGTCTAATACGGCCGCTGTCCCGTCTCCCACGCAGGAATGCTCACCCGCAAGGGGAGACGTCAATAATACCACGCATTCAATTCGTCTGCTGCGCAAACCTAACCCTGCGCTCGGGTCCGTGGGCCGAAGTAGAACATTTTGCCGGCATGGCATGATGCAAAACATGAGCAGCGTTTGACGCCCGTTGTCGTCTTGTCTTGCACGCTCTACCCCGGGGAAATTATCCGCATCGGAACCGCAGCATTCTTGCATGTAGTGACTTGGTATACAAGGCCGTCAATCTGTAAACTCGGCATGTAGCAGTTCAATCGGGTCGTACCCCGTGTTTCTGAAACAATTGGCAGATTTGATGCTTCATAGTCGACACTTGGTTCTTGTTTGCGCATGCCGCCGCTCGTGCGATTGCCCCTGAAAGCAGGGCGAGCGTCTTGAGAAACGTTCAAGTCGACAGCCTCGTTCCACGGCAAGTTATGGGAAACGACTCCTCCAGCAATACGGAGAACCCGAAGCGCGTGAGGACCAAAAGAGACCTTGCTTGTCGCCGGCATCATCACCAAGCAGCCGCCTCCCCGACTCTTCAGAACAGAGATACCATCGAGACATTTGTTCTGCACCGTGGTTCAAAACTCGACGCTCAAGACTGGTGTCTAGAACGCAGACACGCCGAGGCCAGAACCCTTGCGTCTCGCCCGCACAACCAAGACCAAGGGGCACGACGTCTCCGCAGCCTTCAGACATGAAGAGCACGTGTGCCTGTTGTGCATACTCGCGGCACGTTTTGTTTCTCTCAAATTTGGGTGAAACATGCACGCTTCTGCCGGGGGGCGGCTCACACTCGAGCATGGCTTGTCTCGTGCTCATTACTCGCCGTGGCGGTCTGAGACGAAAACAACGTGTCTGCGTGGGATTTCCGCTGTTCCTGTGCATGAACTACATGCCCACGGGGGCATCCTTGCAGTCTTGCATCCAGGTCGAGACGTGAAGCTTTGCTATCGAGACATTTCGTGGCGGAATCCCACGCCGTTCCTGACACGGCGACTGAGCCTTGATACTACACGCTGTCTTGGACTCGTTGTCAAGCACCCTGATTCACGTGCCGTGTCCAGGGGCCAAATGGGCTATATTTGGCAGAACCAGAGCCAAGTTGGCCACTCGGCCGTCGGGGATTCGTCCGCCTTGGACCCTGTCGGTAGAACAGTCGAGATGATGACTCTTGTTGAAATACGCCATGCAGCATATATCCTTGGCAATACCGCAGAGCTTGTGCGTACATGGCGGAGATGACTGTGTCCTGCCGTCGTCGCAACCTCGTGCATGTCCCGCTCAACAAGGCCGCAAGCATGCCGTTGCAGGCGTGTCCAGAACATTCCATCGAATATGCCCACGCGGGTGCCTCGGAGACATCAACGGCCCGCAGATGAGGGCACAAGGCACGGAGCACGCCTCGAGGAAAGACGTGTCTCAGGCTTCGTTTGCATCTCGTCGCGCGCCACGTGCTGCGAAAACAAGAATGGGGAGACGTTGACGTTTAAACTTCAGACGCTTGACCGGGGGACGCTCTCCGTCCTTTGACGCTGATTGGCTTCGCCGCACCAGACCATGCCGCCGCACGGCGTGATGGCGACGACGACAAGAACAACCAGACTAGTCAAGCTGGTAATATGTGTCGGCAACACTGAATGTGACCATCGGCTACCCTCAGCCGCGAAAATTCCTGGTTTCAATGTTCGTAAGAGCTTGCTGCCAACACGACCAAATGATGCATCTCGGCGCACGATTATGTCTGGTCAAATATTATGGATCCGGGGCCGGTTCGGGAATTCTCAAGGTTGCACAGCCGATCATGCGGCCGCTCCCGCTCACGTAAAAGTTTATGCGAGACCCGGCCAAGACGACGTCAACTCGAGTCGCGACAACGTCTTCCTCTCACCAACCATCAACAACCATCGCCGACATCATGCTCCTTGATGTTCTGCAGAACCTGCGGGCTGCCCTCACACCGTCGGCTATTCTTGGCGGCCTGGCTGTCCTGCTGCTCCTCCTCGGTTCCGCCGCCGCCGGTCTCGTATGCACCGGGCGCAACTATGCCCTTGGCCGGGAATTGCGACAGCTCAGACGCATCGGCGTCGCGCCGGACCAAAGCAACATGCGCGACCAGTACGACGCCCAGTATGACCTGCCGCCGGGAGCCAGCGCCAGCCGTCCCATCCGCATCAAGGCCATCTACATCCACCCCGTCAAGTCGTTTGCGCCCATCGAGGTGGACCGCGCCCTGCTCACCAAGTCTGGCTTCATGCATGATCGATGCTTCGCCATAGCCGCCGAGGTGGTCGAGCCCGATGTCGACACTGGCGCCCGGAAGACGTTTTGGCGCTTTATAAGCCAGCGCACCAAGCCGGCCATGTCTCTCGTCAAAACCGAGCTCTGGCTGCCGCACCCGGGCAGCGACCCCAACCATGAGCTGGTGCGCTCGGGAGGATGTGTCGTCATCCGGTTTCCCGACCCCGAACCTCCGTCCTGGCTGCGCTGGCTCGAGTCCCTTCTCTACACGTGGAATCCCGCCACGGCGCCCGACGTCTCCTTCATTGCTCCCTTGAACCCGCCGACGCATCATGTGGACAAGATGCCCTTGCGGCCGTTTGTCATCCACGGCCGCACGGCGCAAGGCATCGACATGGGTGTCGTGCCTTCTGTCGCGGCAGCGCTTCCCAAGTTGAAGAAGTTTCTCAAGATGGCAGACTCGACCCCCTTCACCCTCTTCAAGTGCACGCCCGACACGCTGGTCCGCACGACAAAGAACCTCGCGCCCCTCAAGTACATTGGCTCTCCCGCCGTCCACGGCTACACGGACCAACAGCCCGTCAACGTGGCCAGCCTGTCGTCGGTCCATGATTTCGCCCGCCTGCTCCCCAAGGAGAACCAGCCTCTGAATGCGCTGCGCTTCCGGGCCAACGTCTGGATCACGGGAGCCCCGGCCTACGACGAGGAGACCTGGAAGCGCTGCCGTATTGTGCCGACGAGTGCCGGTGGCCCCGATGCGCCCCGGCGCGCGCGTGTAGATGCAGTCCTGTGCGTCGTGTGTCGCACGTCGAGGTGCACGATGCCCAATGTCGACCCGGGCAGGGGCGTCTTTGATACCGACAAGCCCGCTGCGGACAAGAAAAGGGGCAGGCCGCAGCCGAGCACGGCGCTGATTCAGCACCGCACCGTCGAGGCTGGGAACAATGCTGCCATGGGATACATGGGCATGCACTGTGTGCCCGAGGACCGGAGCTTGCACGAGGCCCAGGAGCAGAATGCAGGGCTGTATGTTGGCGTCGGCGATGAGATTCAGGTCCTGGACCGAGGGGAGCACTTGTACGGGTCGACGGGGGATGACTACTAAGATGCCGTGGGGAGCTTTGGAGACGTACAGATGGTAGTAGACTGGTTTGTGTTTTCGGATGGTGCTGGACCATGCATTGCAATTATGGTAGCCCTACATCTTTGATATGGCGTCGTTTTGCGCATCTTGGCTACTAATATAAAAACAAATATTACAAAACATCCATCTAATATTTATATCCATATTATTTCAAATTTCTTTTGAAGCCGTGGACATGTCTTGCGTCCAGATTCTATTTGAATTTATATATGTGACACGGGCTTCACTAAGGGCTTGGAGCAAAGGGGCTCAATTCAATAATAATCTCGTAGGATGTCAAAGGTCCCGAGTTACTAAAAGGAAGGAAGGGAACGGTGACCGCTATATATACATAAAAGGAACGCTGTTACACGGAAATCGCTTGTTACACAAGTGCTACGGTCACGGGATTAGGGCAGAAGGTCCTCACCGACTTCTTGTATAAATAGACGTCTTTGGTCCCTTAATGCCTTGAGGAAAACCAAGGACCTTTGATACCAAAGACTGTTATTAGATGAATTGAGCTATTGCTCCAAGCCCTCTTTCCGAGCCCTTGTCACAGCGGCAAATCCAGTGACAGTGCCAAGAGCGCCATGGAGAGAGCTACACTCCTTGGAAGGCAGTAGTATTGCTATTTGTCTTGCTTAAGAGGACTTCAAATGTATTTTTTTGTATTGCAGAATTTCCTAACAAAAGTTATGAGGCTTAGGAGGCGAACCGGCCATGCACGGGCGTCACCCAGAACCACAGTGTCATGTTGAGGTAAAAAAACACAAAGGCAATGTTGCTCACGTCATCAGTACTCGGCATTTTACAATCAAGGACTATACTTTGCATTAAACTTTAGCCTATGCTACCGGGTCTGAACCGATCTGCTCGCTAGTGTGACATATGAAGGCGGATGAAGTTGGGGCGGAGTGGTCTCTGACGATGCCGTTCTAGTGCCATTGGCGGGCTGGATATGTTGGGCAAGATGAATAACTTTAGATGCAAAGTACATTCGGCAAAAACGCTACCGCCGAGATGGCGGAATGTTAAATCCATGCATTCTGTACTGTGCAAGAGAAAGAATGGATAATGAATACCATGTCAGGACACGGATCTAAAACCAATATTCGCTGGCAGCTTAATACACCAACGCATGAATAGTTTGATAAAACGTCCTCTTGTTCGGCGTTGGGCGACCAGGCGTCATAAGCGTGCTGCTGTTGGAGCAACCCCATGTCACAGGCAAATATCGCGCCACACAAAGATTGAACGAGACAGTAAATTCATTTCACATTTGGCAGCCCCTTTTACCACCTGTACATGTTA